ATAGGTCCCCCTGTTGTATTTTTTTAGTCTGTGTCCATTTACTCTGTACGTTGCTCCAGATGTCTCATGAGCAATGGTAAATGCTCCATTGGGGAGTGCTTCAGTGATCTCATAAGGACCTTCCCATCTTGATTTCAACTTTCCAGGAAACAATTTCAATCTGGATCGATATAACAACACCTTGTCCCCAACTCCTAGTTCCTTCTTGATCAGCTTTTTATCTTTCCACCTTTTCATCTGCTCCTTGTAGAGGTTGGCGTTTTCATATGCCTCGCTCCGGAATTCTTCTAATTCAACCAATTGAAGCAACCTCTTTTCCCCAGCCATTCTGGCGTCCATGCTCAGCAAAGTGATCGCCTAGAATGCTTTGTGTTGGAGTTCCAAAGGCAAATGGCAAGCCTTTCCGAATACCAATTTGTAGGGGGAGCAGCCAATAGGCGTTCAGTAAGCTGTTTGATACGCCCATAGGGAGTCATCCAGTTTGTTGGACCAATCCTTTCTACCTGGGTTCACCACCTTTTCCAGGATCCTTTTTATTTCCCTGTTAGACACCTCCACCTGCCCGCTGGTCTGTGGGTGGTAGGGGGTGGGAATTTTGTGCTGCACTCCATATTTCTTCAGAAGCAGTTGGAATTGTCTGTTTACGAAATGTGTACCCCCATCGCTAATGATTGCTCTAGGGGTTCCAAATCGAGTGAAAATATTTTTCTTGATAAACTTCAGCACTATCCCGACATCATTGGTGGGGGTAGCAATAGCTTCTACCCATTTCGACACATAGTCGACTGCAACAAGTATATACTTGTTCCCAAAAGAAGGTGGAAAAGGTCCCATGAAATCAATGCCCCACACATCAAACAATTCAATCTCCATTCTTGGAACAAGGGGCATTTCATGCTTTCTTGTAATATTTCCTGTTCTCTGGCACCTGTCGCATTTTTTAACAAAGACATTAGCATCTCTAAACAGGGAAGGCCAGTACAAACCTGATTGTAGCACTTTAGCTGTTGTTCTTGCTCCAGCAAAGTGTCCTCCATAAGGGGAATTATGGCATTGCTCTAGTATTTTCTGTTGCTCTTCTTCAGGGATACACCTTCGAAGTAATTGGTCGGGACACTTTTTGTAGAGCAAATGGTCGTCCCAAAAATACTTCTTAGCTTCATGATGGAATCTCTTTCTCCCTTGGTAGCTTAAGTGGTATGGCTCTATTCCAGCAGCTAGGTAGTTTGCAATATCTGCAAACCAAGGAGCATGTTTTTCAGAGATCATTAGTAGCTGCTCATCAGGGAACGTCTCTTTGATCTGATCTCCTTCTTGTGAGGCCATCCTCTCTAATCGAGATAAGTGGTCAGCCACCTTATTATCACTTCCTCTCCGGTCTTTGATTTCAAGGTCAAATTCTTGGAGCAATAGTATCCATCTAATCAATCTTGGCTTGGCATCCTTTTTGGCAAATAGTTGCTTGATTGCTGAATGATCAGTGAATACTGTAACTTTGGAGTATACCAGATATGACCGAAACTTGTCGCATGCAAACACAACTGACAACATCTCCTTCTCCGTCACTGTGTAGTTGACCTGAGCCGGAGTAAGAGTTCTACTGGCGTAGTACACAGTTCTGAAGATTTTGTCTTTTCGTTGCCCAAGTACTGCTCCCAAGCTGATATCGCTGGCGTCACACATTAATTCGAAAGGAAGACTCCAATCTGGGCTTTGAATGATAGGTGCGGACACCAACCTTGACTTGAGTTCAAAGAAGGTTGTCGTGCATTTTTCATCAAAATTGAACTTCCTATCTTGCTCCAGGAGTTCACAGAGTGGCTTTGCAATCTTGGAGAAGTCCTTAATGAAATGCCTGTAAAAACCGACATGTCCCAAGAAGCTTCTTATCTCTTTCACTGTGGTCGGGGGAGGTAGCTTCTCAATTGCCTCCACCTTGACTTTATCCACCTCGAGACCTTTGCTTGAGATTTTGTGTCCTAGCACAATGCCTTCTCTTACCATGAAATGGCATTTTTCCCAGTTCAGCACTAGATTGCTTTTGACACATCTTTCCAATACCTATTCAAGGTTATTAAGACAAGTAGGAAAAGAACAACCAATAACAGAAAAATCATCCATGAAAATCTCTACTGCTTCTCCTACTAAATCAGTGAATAAAGCAAACATGCATCTTTGAAAAGTTGCAGGGGCATTACACAGCACAAATGGCATTCTTCTGAATGCAAAAGTCCCAAATGGACATGTAAAAGTGGTTTTGTGTTGGTCTTCAGGAGCAACCGAGATTTGGTTGTATCCAGAATACCCATCCAAGAAACAAAAGAATTCTTTTCTAGCCAGATGATCCAGCATTTGGTCAATAAAAGGGAGGGGGAAATGATCCTTACGGGTCGCAGTATTCAACTTTCTATAGTCTTGACAAATCCTGCACCCAGTTATCTTTTTGGTGGCTATTAATTCATGTTTTTCATTTTCAACTACAGTGATGCCACCCTTTTTTGGAACACATTGCACAGGGGCAACCCATTTGCTGTTAGAGATAGGATAGATTATACCTGCATCAAGCCATTTGATGATTTCCTTTCTTACCACCTCTTTCATATTGGGGTTCAGCCTCCTTTGATGCTCCACAGATGAGCTGTCAGGATCTTGGAGCAAAATTTTATGCATGCAGATTGTTGGGCTAAATCCCTTTATATCAGCCATAATCACAAGGAGAGTGTTTTCTTTACCCAAATAAATATACTTCAGGTGTTCAGGTAAAGGCTTTAACTCCAAGGTAGGCGGTTGCTCTACTGAGGGCAAATTTGGTCTTTGCTCTTGCTCCGATCGGTTCAAGGATTCGAAGATCCTTTCTTTCTTATCCCCAGTATGAATGGAATTAATGGACGCAAGGTATTCCTCCAATTCGTCAAAGTCCTTCATGCCTATTTCTGACTGCAACTGCTCCTACTGTTCTTCTCTTATGATAAAGTCAAGAGTTGAAATGCTAGAGCATTCCTCAATGCTATCGACATCAAACTTCATTGCTTTCATGACATTGAACTTTACCTCCTCTCCATTTACACTCATGGATAGTTCACCTTTCCTGACGTTTATGACAGCATCACCAGTGGCCAGGAATGGTCTGCCTAGAATTATTTGAACTTCTTGGTCTGCTTCAAAATCAAAGATGATGAAGTCAGCTGGTAGAATGAACTTGTCTACTTGGACAAGGACATTCTCGATTTTTCCTTCCGACTTGGCTATGGACCGGTCTGCAAGCTGAAGAGTGACTGTGGTTGGTCTTGCTGCTCCTATGTCAAGCTGTTTTAAGATAGAAGCTGACATTAAATTTACACTCGAGCCCAGATCACAAAGTGCTCGACCAAGGTAGTTCTTCCCAACTGTACACGGGATGGTGAATATTCCAGGCTCCTTCAGTTTGGGAGGAATCTTAGTCAGGTATTTGCAAGATTCTTCAGTGAGGGCTACAGTCTCAAATTCCTCAATCCTTCTTTTTTTTGACAAAACGTCCTTCATAAATTTTTCATACGAAGGCATTTGTTCCAGAGCCTCCACCAGAGGGACATTTATGTGAAGCTGTTTCAACAAGTCTAAAAACTTGTTAAACTGTCTATCTTCATGTTGTTTTTTTAACCTCTGTGGAAAAGGAGGCTCAATTGGTTCACTCCTCCTTTTGCATGGTGGAACATAAGTTGGGACTGAAACTGGTTCATTGTCTTTCATTGCTCCAACATCTGCTCCAGATGTTGTGGCAACTGGTGTGACTTCAGTGAGATCATCGTTCTGGACCTTCTCCCTTGATTCTGCCTGAGCTTCATGGGGTTGAGGGTCAGTAGCTTCCTCAACTCCTTCTTGCATAGGTTGTCTTACTAGTTCGCGTTTACGAGATCGTGCCACTAAATCTGGAGGTGGCAGAGTTTTTCCATCTCGTAAGCTTATAGCATTACAACGCTCCTGGTTTTCCTGGGACAATTTTTCTGTGTCACTAGGGAGTGTCCCTGGTTGTCTCTGTTGGAGTGCTCCAACCAACTGACCAATTTGGGTCTCCAGGCTCCTCATGGCTGCACTGTTCTAATTCATGTATTCCTGGACAAAAGTCTCAAAGGATTGGGACTTCCCTTCACCCTTATCCCAGTTTTGATGGTTCTGCCTGGGGTATGGAGGTCGGTTCTGGTAGTTTCCTCCACTACCTCCAGTATTATTCTGACTCTTCCATCCCCGGTTGTTGTTCCCTTGATAATTATCATTGCTCCTGTTATTATTATCGTAACCACCTGCATAACACACAGCAGCCAAATTGTTACAGTCCTCAGATTCATGAGGACCTCCACAAATGGAGCAACTTTGACTTGATTGAGTCAAGAGAAGTTGCTCGGTTGGTTTTTTCTGTTCTATGGGCTTCCAATTTTTTATAGTATTCTGGAGCGAAGCCATCTGTACTGAAAGAGCATCAGTTAAGCTTAGCTCAAGAACTCCTGCTTTCTTGGAAGCATTGTTCCGTGTGGAAGGCCATTGAACATGTTTTTTTGAAAGTTTTCCAACAACCGATAGGTTTCCAGATAAGTAAAATCCAAAAGATCTCCCCTGCAGCCGCATCAACAGTGGCTTTCAATGGTGGGGTTAAGCCATGATAAAACGTGTGAATAATGCCCCAATTAGAAACTCCATGATTTGGGCAAATTCGTATTAATTCCTTAAAGCGCTCCCACGCTTCATAAAGACTTTCTCCATCATACATTTGGAAAGATGCTATATCAGCCCTCACTTGGGCTTGTTTTGCTTGGGAGAAAAATCGGGTGACAAACTGTTCAGCTAGTTGCTCCCAACTAGTAATGGAATTTGGGGGCAATGTTCTCCTCCATTCTTTGGCTTTTCCTGCTACGGAAAATGGAAACAACCTCATTCGCATATTTTCCTCTGAGATACCATGAACTTTGAAATTATCAACTATCTTAGTAAAGTTGTCCAAATGACTGTGGGGGTCTTCCATAGGCAATCCATGGAATTGACCAGCATTCATAATCATTTGGAACATTGCAGGTTTGATTTCAAAGTTAGGGACATCCAGAGGAGGAGGAACATAGCCTCGTTCTGGACCATTTCTGAAGGGAGCAGCCATATCATTCAACGATGGCCCTCTTCCTCCATTCTGTCCTTCTTCATTCTCATGATTATTATTTTCATTGTTACCATTTTCACCGTTATTTAAAACTTCCTCCATTGTATTATTCCTTAACCTTTGAACTCTTCTTCTATTTCTGAAGGTTCTCTCGGGTTCTGGATCAAAATGTACTATTTCCAGTCCAAGTTCTGTAGGTTATGTGCTCATACAATTGGAAGAAGTCAAACACAATAAAAAAAAATTCAAAAACACAAACAATAATGTTTCCTTAAAAACGTCCTTTCTTGCCAAATGATCCCCGGCAATGGCGCCAATTGCTTGGTCGAACCGAGAGCTGCTCAGGGATATTTTTAAAGAGCAATAATACAGAGTGATAATCGAGATTGCAAACAGGAGCAATCTACTCTGACGGTGAGCAACCCTCTTCAACTATACGCAAGCGTACGTGTCAAGCAATACAGGGTGTTGTTAGCCCCAGATTTATCGTCCTCGGGGAGCAGTTGTGAAGAAGGAATCGTTCAGGGAAACTTAATTCTTAGAAAAATGAAAGGAAAGTAATTATTCTCAACCAAGCTTCACAAGGAGCAATCTCAAGTCAGCTAGTTAAACAGTGTTAACCATTCTAAACTAGATGAGAGCAGTGAATAACTTAGCATATTCATCAAATATCAAGGCATCAAATTGAAGTAACTTAAAAGAAATTAGTGAAGTGATTATAAAAGCAGCAACAGATAAGCACAATTTGGTTGTCGTGAAGAAGGTTATAACAAAAGTTTGATGTGAGATTGAGTTTAGGAAGAGTTAAGTAGGTGTTTGGGGTTCCATATTTTCATCCCTTTGGTTAACCCTGCTTGGTAACATATTTTAAAAATGGATTCTGCTCCTTTCGTCGTTTTGCCACAAGTAAGTAAAAGAGCAAGGCCTTACTCTCCACACTACTCCGTAGAACATAGAGTTAAATGCAAGGAAACCATGTTGCCTTCTCAAAAGAGCCTGGATTCACATGGTAGTGCTCTTCATTCCAGGTGTTCCTCCCTCCTTTCTTCAGGCTGAACTACCCCAAGATCTTGAGACTGCTCCGCACGCCCTTGTCAGTGTTTCATCGACCGAGTGGTCCCGGGATGATGTTTCCAGCCCAAAGGGTTTCACAGAATCAATATATTAAATCAAATAACAGCTCAAAATTCATTCATAAAATATGTGTTCCTTACAAATTTATCCTAAGACAAAAGGGATTACTTCTATGGAACCCTCACCTACTTAAAAGAAGTTAGCTCCTAGCGAGCATTACAAAAGAAAAAATATCAGGAAAAATAATATGGCCATCCCTCTAATGGTGTCTCCTCTTCATGAAGGTTGATTCTTCCTTTTATAGAGTTCTTCTGTCAGATCCTCATCGTCCCTTTCATCAAGGGCTGTGCCTTCTTCAAATCCTCTCCAATAGTAGGTCTGCTCTCTGCCAGCTCAGCTCTGCATGGCAGTGGTCCCCCTTGCTTTTGGTGCTTTTTCTCGGGTGAGAATTTCGGAATCAAGGAGACACCTCCACCTTCTCTGCTGTGGCTGACGTGGAGGCTCCTGATTGCTGCCTTTTACTGTTTTTGTACTGTAGCAGGCTTTTATGCTCCCTCCTGCGCAGCATTCTTCCTTCTTTTCCTTAATGTGTGGGCCCTTCTGTTAGGTCTCAGGTTTCCTGATCAAAACAAATCAACCCAATAATCATATGTGAAAAAGATAATGTCAATTTGCTCCAGGCCTACTCTAATTCCTATTTCAAGTGTTGCTCTGGTCCATTTTTCAAGACAATTGCTCTTCATGGAAAAAGAAGGTTAAAGCGAGTGATTTGTGACCAAAACAGGGGTTTTGTGGAGTGATATATACTTAATGGACCTCAACTTTTGAGGACCATCAAATCCCTTAGGAATTCGATGGATATCTTCGTGCTGGAACGTCCTATTTATAAGCAAGCTTGTAATTTCTTTGGAGTCGGTTTCTTGACTGTATGAAAGGGGCAATTCGAACAGTGCTTTGTGGGGCGCACGTGGTTGGATGGGACAGTTTTTGCTGAGACTTCTCTTTCCTTCTGAACCTCCCATGCCTTGCTTTCCTTTTCGTCCAATATGAACCGTTTATTCTCTGCTGTTCACCTTTCTCCTTGGTTGAGTGTTGCCCACTTGTGCTTAATTGGAAACTTCTTTTCAACGTTTCCTAAAAAGTGGTCAGAAAGATTGAGTGAGTGAAGCAGGTGTAATAAATGTTCCAAATCCGTTCCCTTTTTTATATATTTTCCAAAGATTACGTCACCTTCCGTTCCCACCTGTGTTTTTGTGATAAAGATATAAAATATATGTTTTTAGTGCTAAAGCTGCTCATCAAGTGAGGGAACAGATGGTATTTTGCCATCAAAATGGTCTTAGATGGGCCCAGATTTTCGTCCCATCAGAGCACACACGGTGATCAAACCCCAGTACCAAGGGATTACCTTATTAATCTCCTTCGCTTGAGCGCTTCCAATCACAATATCAACAAACTTGGTTCCACCAGAAATGCCTACACGTAGGCCATTTCCATCTCAATATCCACCAACCAATAAATATGCAAGTTTATAACGTATACATGCATAGGTTCAAGAGCACTTACCATAATTCCTTTGGTCCGAGACCAAAGGCAACCCACCAAGCTCATGGTTCATGGTTCAATTCCGCGGGAGGCAACCTACAATGATCACACAAGGATCATCAATACAAGGTGAATCCACCAAAATCACAAAACATCAAATTTCCTTTTTCACCTAGGCTAGGTTTGGCCATTTTAGGCTTATTTTACCAAATATTTTTCTAAATTTTCTTTTTATTTGTCTTTAGCATCCTAAGGCTACCACCATTTTAGGTCCCACTTTCAATCCTACACCACCACAACACAATTTTTCCATTTATTCCACTCTAGGTCCAATTGCAAAATCCACACAATCCAAATATTTTTTCTTAGATTTTCCAAGCATCCACTCATCACACAACACCTCTAAATACCATTTACCAACACCATACATCCATTACATGATTTTACAACATCACACCCTAAATGCCCTCATTTGGCCGAAATCATCATGGCCTCCTATCAATGGTTATTCAATCCAGTTCAACATTCCTAACCATCATACAATACCACTATCAACCTATAAAAACACTCAACAACTCAATTACACAATCCTACAATCAATCAATTTCACAAAGTCATGGCATTTCAACTCAAATTTTCACTAAGTTATCATCCAAATTTCTCAATAATTTTTATGGCATTTATTACTCCAAAACATCATTCTAAACTATAATTGTCTAATACACAGATTCCATTTGAGCTCCCTAACTACATCAATCACAAAAATATGTTCTAGGTTTCATGAAATTTCATCTATCAATTCAACCAATAAAAGTTGTTGAAACTTACCCAAAATCAAGTCCCAAGACTCCTCCAAGTGATCCCCAAGCAATGGGTTGAGCAAACAACTCCAAAAATCCCAAAATTCTTCTCAGATTCGTGGCTGAGTTTGCCCTTTTTCTCACAAATGAGAGGGTTTCAAGGGAAACTAATCGGTGGGATGTGTTCGGATGATGATTTCCAACAACTTTGCTCACAAACTTTTCTTGATTCGGGGTTGTATTGAAGGAGTTATAAGGAAGAGAATATTTGAATCAAAACTTCCATGGAGTAGTGGAGGGTTTCAGCCTTGAAGAGAGAGAGAGAGAGAGAGAGAGAGAGAGAGAGAGGGGAAAGATGCCGATGAACAGTGGACTTGGTCCATGTGGACTAAGTCACTTAAGTGAGGTGGGCCCCACAGCCACCTCACGCGATTTCAAACTAATTCAAATCTCCCGTCTATTCCGCTAAACGTCCATAATTTCATAACCTATTTAGAAACTCTAATTTTTAACATTAACCATTGTCCTTTAATTACCCTTGATAAGATGAATCCAGAGTTTTTTTAGTCGTTTAAAGAAATTAAAGTTTTATGTTGTTACGCACGTCGTGGGCGCACTTCCCCAAACACACTAATTTCCATCAATTTTTGCCAGAAATCATATTTCCTAGTCCTATGTACCATTTATAACTTATATCCAAATCTAGAGCTTAAAATTCAATCGGCACGCTTTATGGAGCAACTGTACCATAGTAATTTTACCCGATAAAAACACTATTCATCGAATTTTCATAAACTTGCCTGACCACTCAATTTTTCGTTCTGAATCCATGTCCAAGGTTATTTTTATCATTTGAGACCTCCTACTCAATTTTACCTTCCTAGGGTTACATGTTTGGATAATTACCATTTTACCCTTCCTTTGTATTTTGACCTATTTTTCAGGATTTTCACTAATCTTTCCCTTTAATCCATATTTAATATATTAATATATGTTTTAGAAATGTGAGGTGTTATAAACAGAAACAGATAAATCAAAAACAAACTATTTTTTAACACATAAACAGAAAATCAAAATTAAAAGAGAATGGAAAATGGAAACAGAAACAGAAACAATTTTTTTTTTTCAGAAACAGAAATGAAAATTAAAGAAGAAGAAGAAGATCAAGAAAACATAAAAGAAAAAAAATAGACAAAGAAAAGGGAAAGAGAAAGAACGCTTTGACGTGCAGAGTTCCCCGTGAACTCGCGAGCAGCCAGACAAGCTGCAAGCCTGCGAAATCAGAATCCTGCAAACCGAACTGCAAACCTGCAAAATCACAAAACACAAACAGAAAAAGAGTTATCACAGTAAACGATTTAGACCGATGCAATTTCCCCGGCAAAGGCGCCAAATTTGACGCGAGCTGTCGAACTCGTTCAAATTAAAAATTATTTTTATTTTGGGTTCAGAAAATTTGCAGTAAAGTGGAAACCCTAAGTCGTCTCTCAAGAAAATTGTTTTGGTAAAAATCGCTTATGAAAATAGAAAATAAAAAGGGGAGTTTTGCATTTCGGTTGAATAATTAAAAGACAGAATATAAAAATTGGAATTAAAAATTCGTAATTAAAAATTAACCAACCTAAGGTTAGGGTTCCTAGGATGTCCTTCCTTGGATAAAAATTACCAAATTCGTGATTAATC